CACACACACACACACACACACACACACACACACACACACACACAGATAGTTGAGTTTTGTATATTTCATATAATGGAAATTAATCTGATTTTTTGATTTAGGCACTTGGAGCTATAAACCTCTCTAATGACTTTAAAGTGTGCCAGAGGTTTTGTTGAGTTATATTGTCCTTTTTGTTTAGTTGTAGGAATACTTTTTTTTTCTTACTTGATTTCTTCTTTAACCCATTCAGTATTCAGGAGTGTGTTTTTAATGTCCATGAGTTCATGTAGTTACTAACGTCTCTTTTGCTGTTTATTAAGTTTTGTTGCACTGGGGTCTGATAGAATGCATGGAATTATTTCAATTTTTTTATTTGTTGAGGTTTGTTTTATGCGCCTGTATGTGGTCAATTTTAGAGAAATTTGCATGAGCTGCTGAGTATAAACTGTATTGTTTGGTGCTTGGGTGGAATTTTCTGTAGATATACTCTTAGGTCCATTTGATGTAAGATGTCATCTAATTCAAATATCTTTCTGTTTATTGTTTGTTTAAGGAGCCCAGTTCTTCAATTTTGTCATTCAGTCTTGATATTCTGTTCTTTGGTTCATTCATCCTGCTTCTGAGGCTTTCTTCTGTTGTTTCAAATTAACTTAATGAAATGTTCAATTCCATCTTCATTTTGGCTTGGGTTTTCTTTAATATTTCTATCTCTTTTCTTAATTCACTTTTCCCTCTTTTTTTTATAAAAATATCAAATTTATTTCAATATTTAGTTTCTTTTTTTTCATTAAACCATTGAACAAGTACTCTAATTAAAATTCATTACCAGAGGTGCAGAAGACATTAATAAGCAATTAAATACTGCAATAGATAGTTACTGGACCATACCTTTAGAAAAGCCATGTTTATTTAATAGGCAATAAGGTCATTTTACCACTGAAAAGTCTTTCAGCTTTGAACTTCTAATTGCCATTTTATCCAGTTATTGAAATCACTATTATTATGCCCAGCAAAATTTTTCAAAATTTTGAAGCTTTCTTTTTAAGTAATGAAGTATGATTTCACAAGTGTAAAATTTTAATTTTTGCTTTGAATCCGTGTGACTAAAAATTAACCAGACACCACTACCATATTAGTTAAAAACAAAAGTATATTTACATAATCAGCAAATTATCTCATAAGACTTTTAACTCCTCCACAGTTGTAGTCAGCATAAGAAACTGATCCCATGGTACCAACTGCATTTGGTATTTTCATGGCAAGCTTTGGATCCTGTTACTCATCCTACCTCCACTAAGGAAATGGGAGTTTTCAGAAGTATAAAATTTAGCCTACCCAGTAGGTGGTGATCTACATGGTCAAGATGAGAATTTGTTATAAAATTAGGTTTAAAAATGCAGAATGTCTTCATAATTACCAGTTGTCTCAAAGGCTAAAGAAAAGACAGATTAATATTTCTTTTGAGAAAGAAATGCTTTATCTCAAGAAATAAGCAATGAGTTTAAAATTGTGATTAATGTATCTATTTTAAACTAAGTTAAACTTTTTACCTCAGAGAATAATTCTTTTTACATTCCTAATACCCTTTGATCAGATTTGAACCCCATTTTAAACCACCATTTGAATAGGATTCATAATTGAAAGCCATTTTTTCTGAGCAGGATGTTTTCCACTTGAGTACATAAGCTCCAAGATGGCGAACTCTCAGCTTTTTTCACTACAGGTTGAACATACAAAAATATTTACTTTTCAAGTTGTAGAGCTTCTGCATAATACCTAGAGGAAGGGATCCACAGCTAAACACAAAAATTCATTTATATTTCATATAGTTTGAAAGTCATTTCATGTATTTTTACTGCACCTGTGTTTTGACTACAACCCATCACAAGCTCCGTGTGGAATTTCCCACTCTTGGCATTGTGTCTGAACACAGGGGTCAAAATTTGCAGCTCTAAGGGTTTTGAATTTTGGATGCTCCACCTGTATAATAAATGCTAATTTAGAATTTATAATCTGAGAGTAGATTCCAAGCCTAAAATTACTACAGTACTAAGGTCTACCTTCCTGCTTCTGGCTGGTGAATTTAAACCTCTCAGAAGTATATTGTAGAACTAAAGAAGAAGACAACCAAGGGTCATCTGAAATTATGATTGGCTCACTGATAATCCCAAGAAAAAAAAATTAGAGAACACACCTTGAGCACAAGAGATGCTTGACATAAAGGCTTGGGCTAAGTATGCTGTGGAATGGGCTGCAAATGACCCGTATGGTTTCCTTACAACAGTTATTTTGGTCCTCACTCCACTGTTCCTAGCTAGTGCTGTTCTGTCCTGGAAGTCGGCCAAGATGATTGAAGCCAGTGAGAAAGAGCAAAAGAAGAAACAAAAACATCAAGAAAATATTGCGAAAGCTAAACAACTAAAAAAGGATTGAAGGAATAAACTGGCTCTGCAACTAGAGAGAAATCATTTGGAAAATTATGCAGCTTTAGAAGGACTCAAATAAGGTTTCATTTGTTCATGATAGTATGATTAGTAATTCAAATATGACCCTGAATTCACTTTTTAAGTCCTGCATTGTTTTCGTTATTTCATTCAACCACATATTTGTATTTTCATGAGCCTCTGCAAGTTTATGCCTATGCTCTTCGAGTTCTTTGAAGATTTTTTTTTTTGGTCTCTGTGTACTTTGAATTATTTGATCTTTTAAATTCTGCATAGTGGGATTCTTCAGTGTGATTATTATTGCAATACTTTTCTGTACGAATGATGGGTGTTATTGGTGACATATTTTTGTTATTTGTGTTTTTTGCTTTGCTATTTGTGCATATGGATGCCTTTTGTTGGTTGTTTATTTGATAGAAAATTCTATTCTGCCTTTGTTTAGTTGAAATTTGGTTCCCTTTATATTGTTGATGAAGCTTGGTCACTTTATTTTCAGGTATGAAAAAAATCAGGTTCTCACAGGGCAGTAGGCTTGTTTGTGATAGGCAGATCGGTAGGGGATCCAGAAGCAAGATAGAGAAGAGGCCAGTGTGTGGAGGGATCTAACAAATGAAGCTAGAGAATTGTCCTAGTCTGGGTGCAAGGGATCATGATGCAATGGGCAAGTCTGGACTAAGAAGGTAGTCCAAAGATTTGAGGCAGAAGAGTAGGATCAGGCTTAGGTCCAAGACTAGAAGGGCTCAGGGTTGGGGACGGAGTGCAGCTTCTCAGACTGCAATGGAATCAAGATGCAGTGGAGGGGGAAATCTGACTTACCAAGGTAGTAGATGGGTCTGTGTCAGGCTGATCAGGAGGCCAGGGGCAAGGTGGGGATGGGGAAAGTCTATGGAGGGTCTAACAGACTACACTAGAAGATTGAACTAGTCTGGGTTGAGAAACAAGTCCAGAAATCTGAGCCCAAAGAGCAGGAGCATGCATGGACCTAAGGCTAGAAAGGGGACAGGGTGTCAGGGGCAGAGTGGAGGATCTCTGGCTTCAGGAAAAATCAATAAACAGTGGGTAGGATCTGACTTACCAGGGTAATAGGCAGGCAAGTCTATGTCAGGCAAATCAGGAGGCCCCAGGGCAAAGCAGAGATTGGGACAGCCTGCAGAGAGAGGCTCTAACAAACTATGCTAGATTATTAAACTAGTCTGGGTTGGTATGCTACTCAAGAGATCTGTGGCAGAAAAGCAGGGTCAGATGACCTATCTTTTGGAAAAAGTGAGTTGTGGAAGTCACGTATAACTACTGATTTGAAATTAATCTATGTCTTAAAGTCTCCAGTAGTATTCTTTTTATGAAATTGGGTGCACGAGAGTTTAATCCATCTATATTTATGACTATAATGTCTTCTTGGTCAATTTTTCCCTAGATCAGAATCCTGTGACCTTCTTTATTTCTTCTGATTAATACTAGTTTGAAGTCTATTTTGTCCAATATTAGAATAGCAAAGCCTGCTTGTTTCTTCATGCCATTTGCTTGTTTTTTTTACTGTGTCCTTTCTCCCAAAGGTGGTGTCTGTCCTTGAAGGTAAGATGAGTTTCTTTTTTCATTTTTAATATTTTTATTGAGGTGTGCATGTCATATAATACATCTTAATCAAATTTAGAGCTCCTCCCCCTCTTCACCTCCAATAGCCACCACCACCACTAGACTTCAGGTATTCTGTCATATGTTTTAAGTCCTATCCAGTCAAGCACATCTATCCAAGTGTCTGTCAGTGCAAGTTCATCCACTGGAGTCTAGTCAACTGGTCTAGAGTGACTCCCCTAAAGAAGATCTACTCTCCCTCACTCCACAGTAATCATTTGCCAATAGTTCCTTGGGTAAGGCTTCGAGTTGTTGCCCATTTCCCCCATTCTATATTGGTTTTTGTTTAATTGAGTCGGCATGAGTTTTGTGCATGCTGTCAGCATTGCTGCAAGTTCATTTGAACAAGTTTCCAGTGGCCTGAAATTCTGTTTCTTTATGTTCATGAACCAACCCTGGCTCTTACAATCTTTCCTTCCCCCCTTTCATAATGGCCCCTTAGCTGTGGGTGGATGAGGTTTAATATAGGACTCCTATCCAGGGACACACACTATGAAGTTTCTTATTCTCTGAAACTTAGCCAGTTGTGGCCTTCTGTATGCATCACACTCTGTTGTATGAGGAAGCCTAACTGGTGACAGTTGAAGAATGTGTTAGTATTCTCTATACCCACTGGTCTGCTGTGTTCCAAGAGTTTAGATGTAGAGGCTATTACAGAGTTCCACAACTGGTCACACACAGAGAATGTATGTCTGAGGAATGCCCAGTCCTATGTGACAAGTCTACTGTAAGATCAGTTTCTTGTAGACAACAAAAAGATGAATTTTTTCCAAAGTCTGTTAAACTAGCCCATATCTTTTAATTGTAGAATTGAGGCCATTGAAATTTAAAATTATTATTAAAAGATGAATATTGCTTATGGTAATTTTATTTTCTGTTTGTGTTCTTAGTCCTATTTTGCTTAGTCTATAGTTATATCTTCACTTGTTTTTCCATATCCTCTTGGGTATGGCTATTCCTTTCTCCAGTCCTTCATATTACTTCAGGTATTTTCTGTAAGAAAAGCATTTGGTAGACACGTGTTCTTTCTTTTTTAATTTTATTCATTTTTTTCCATTTTTTATGTGTATGAGTGTATTGCCTGCATGTATGTGAGTGTACCCATGTCGTGCAATGCGCGGAGGTCAGAAGAGGGCTTCGGATTCCCCTGGACCTGGAGTTAAGACAGTTCGTACCCACCATGTGGGTGCTGAGAATTGAACCTGGGTCCTCTGCAAGAGCAGTCAGTGCTCTTAACCGCTGAGCCATCGCTCCAGCCCCGACATGTATTCTTTCAAACTATTTCGTAGAATAATTTTCTTTCTCTTTCAACTAAGATAGACTGTTTCTCTGTGTAAAGAATTCTGAATTGGTATCTGTGGTCATTTAAAACTTGAAATGCACTAGCCTGCACTCCTATCCTCAGCCCTCTTGGGGTAAGTCTATAGCGCAGGCCTCCACGCCTTAACTCCCCAAGCCACATTCACCCTTCCATCTTCCCCGCTGTTCGCTACTCCCAGTTTGGGACCTGCGCCATTCCTAGTCTTGGGGCCCCAGACACCTGGGGAACCAATACTGCTTCCTGATCCTTCTCACCCAGACCAACTTAGTGCCTTTCTTGGGCCCCAGGAGCACCGCTTCTGGTCCTGGCCCCACCCACACATCTCTCTGCAACCCGGGACCTGCACCACCGGCTAACTCTCCTAGCCTGCACTCCTATCCTCAGGTCTCTTGGGGTAAGTCTATAGCACAGCCCTCCATGCCTTACCCCCCCAAGCCACATTCACCCTTCCATCTCCCCCACTGTTCGCTACTCCTAGTTTGGGACCTGCGCCATCCCTAGACTTGGAGCCCCAGACACCGGGGGAACCAATACTGCTTCCTAACCCTTCTCACCCAGACCAACTTAGTGCCTTTCTTGGGTCCCAGGGGCACCGCTTCTAGACCTGGCCCCGCCCTCATCTCCCTCTACTTCCCTGGTCCTGCAACACCTGCCAGGCTCTTGCTAGGGCTGACAGCCTCTTACTGGGGCTCCGAAGCTTACGTTTCCTCTCCCTGATCCTTTGCATCCAGTACAACCCAGCTACTCAATCCACTCCCTGGGAAATCTTGGGGCTTCTTCCCACCCCATCTGCCTTTGCATCACTGTGTGGTGCGGCAACTGCCAGGGTCTCAGGTCAGTCCAACACCCAAGTTCCTGAGGCCAAAAATCATCCTTAGAAGATTCCAGACTTAAGGAGAAAGTCTGAAAACTTCTGACC